TTGTGGCTGCCAGGATGCTTTACTAGTGTAGCAGAGCTTGACTCTGGGAGCGTGATGTAAATGATGCCTGTAGAACTAGGTTTATTTTCAGTGCCCATCAGAGGGTACGCTTGTTTCTCAGAAAATAATCTTCCTTTCTCTTTTTCCTTCTTCATTTCTGTCTGCCTGGAACTGGAGGATGAGAGCCCCTCTTAGCATTCATGCAAGCCCTGTCAGAAAAGCACACAGAGCGGGTCTCTCACGGCGCCATGCAGCTCTCACAGCTCGCTGTCACCCTGCCCTGTCACACTGCATGTCTGTCCCCGTGTGCTGTCCCCCACCCTGTGTGTCTGTCACCAGCCTGAGGACATGGCTGCAGAGACATGCATGGAAGCTTAGCAGAGAAAATGCTGAACCGGAGCCATTAAATCACAGCTCTCCCAATCCTGAAGAAAGAGCTCCTCCTGAAGGCAAAAATCGGGACCTGAGGCTCTTTCAGTCACTTGAACTCTCCTTGTGTTCACATTGCATTTCAGAAGAGAAATTTTTGTTATACTTGCACTGTTTTGAGCCCTAAGCCCAGAAAAAGGCAGCACAGAGTCCAAGGAGTGCAGTTGCAGGGAAGCACAGCAAAGTGCAGACGAGCTCCATGTGCAGATGGAGGGAGTCCAGCATGCAGGCTGGGCAGGGGGATGTGCTGGCAATGGCAGGAGGCTTATCTTCTGCCAGAGGATGGATGGGCACACTGCTTGGCACTGCTTGGAGGGAGTCATGGATTTCAGTGATAGACTGATGGTCACTGCTTATGCTGTGTAGTATTGGTAAGAGCTCTATCCATACTGTTTGTGTCTCATCTAAACTGCTCGATTTCTGTACAGATTTCTTCATGATGTCATTTTCACCCATTTATATCCATGTTCTAATCCCAAGCCTGCTGGTGTAACCAATGCTCCTTTCTAACTTCTGTTGTGTCTCCGTGATGCCACACTTGTGTGTCCCTGCCAGAGTCCTCATGTCTTCTTGTCTTTGTTTAAATGTGAGCTTAACTGGATCACAAAAATTGGGCATTACTGGCATGAACACTTCAGGAAATTGGATTTGGAAGGGAGGCCAAAGTTTGCTCTTAGATACATCCCATGAAGAGTTGTTGACACTCAAAGGAGGGATCTAGAATATCTGTTGGTGAAAAATGTTCACCTTTTCCATTAAATGTGCTGCCGAATTCCGTGATGTCAAATGCTGCACAGAGCATTTAGAAAAACAAAACCTTGCCCACGATTTAAGGGTGGAACTGAACCTGCACAAGAACTAGCAAATCACAGGGAGTTTCCCTAAGAAACAAAGTCTACAAGGAACAAACTTCTTACAGTGGCTTACTGAAAAACACGTATGAAAAAGACAAATATTGGAACTTTAACAATTTTTTATTATCTTAAGAGTGTAAACATCTTTTCTGATGATTGGGAATAAGTTTATTTCAAATTAAAATCCTGTGCTCAGTGACAGGAAAATCAGGTCCTCTATGCAAACTATAAGGGGACAACCATACTTGCCCAGCAGGATTGTCAGTTTCAAGTGTGGGATGGGTTTAGTTTATGACTTTCCCAACGTTTTCTAGGTTTAGATGTGCAAAAATTTGTGCATAATATGGATCCATAAATATGGATACAGCCTTAAGAAAACTCCTTTGCTGATATCTTTCCCCTCTGTTCACAGTGACAGCATAAACCATGTTATTAATTTGCCTGGGGGTTAATCATTGCAAAATATCTCTAAAAGAGTCACTTATTTGAAACCACTTCTAAAATCATTTTGAGCAAGTGATTTTTTTTTCCTGCTGAAAAGATTACAAAAAGTTGTTCTCATGCTTTCCATGTGAGTGTCTATTACAGAGAGCCATCTGCTTTTCCTTTGAGCAGACTTTTCAGCAGGATTCATCCACACTGTAAGCCAATCTCTACCCCATGATCACAAGACTGGGGCTTTTGTTTCTCCTTTTTGAACAAATTCTTACACTCAAGAGCAGGGAAACAAAACAAAAAATGTCTGTGGAGGATGTTTTCTAATTTGCTGCACCTCTGGAAGTATCTCAGACAGTACATACTCTAGAGGTGGTTCATTTCTGAGAGTTCCTAGTAGCCACTGAGCTGATTTGGCACTTTCCAACACTGTCTTCATCCAACTAATGACAGTCTGAAAGATCCAGTGTTTGGGAGCAGCTGTAGAAATACTCATTTTAGAATATGTTGAGATTATATCTGCCTGTAAAGAAAAATAACCTTTGTTTCTGACTTGTTTACTTAAACTTCAAGAAGTAGAAAATGTGCTACATGAATGTTTCTGTCCCTAGAAAATGATGAAGCAGATTAATTATTTTTATTTAATTTTTTTAAAATTCCCACAGTAAGCATTTTCTGATTCATCTCTTTGCCTTTCTTAAATAAACTGATATTATACAGTAGAATTTGAATATGTCATGGTCTGTATTTTCTTTACATTATATGGGGTTTTAAAGAATGGAATATATAAAATTTGACAAAAAATGACCTAATCATGACAACTAACATTTAACCAGACATGTTTTTTCACCATAGGTGTAACATGTCAGGCATGTTTGCACACAAGACTGCCTTGGCCTGTTTTGAGTAGCCAGGCAACTCCCTTTTTGTTCAGACTTTAGAGAGTTTTAGATAAACCTGCAAGAATGGGCTTTTGCAAATTATTTTTTTTTAAAAGAAACTCTTTGGTATTCTGGAGTAAATGTATTTATTTACCAGTATGTAAATGGCTGATTTTAGTGTTTGTGAATACAGAACACTGTGCAGAAATATTGAAATATTAAACTTACTTTGTTTGAAACAACAATGTCTTTCCCTCCCCAAGGTCAGAAACACCTCAATAAATTACTTCCACTGGATATGGAGTTATTTAACATAAGGAGTTTCCAGTGCCATTTAAACTGTATTTTTACAATTTCCTCTGTCAGGAACAATATAATTTGGGTAACCTTGCACTTGGGCAGGTGTTTGATCCCAGCAGAGAGGAGAAGTGGCCTCTGAGCACTATCTAAGCCATCACGAGGAGCTCCTGATCAACACAGATCCACTTTCCTGTGGTGATGGCAGCTGGTGAGCCAGACCCATAATTCAGGGGTACAGCCACTCTGGGGGCTGGGCTGGTGGGGTGGCATGAAGCAGGGCTGGGTGGTGACTCTGTGGGGCACAGGCCCTTCCCGTGGGCTGCCCCAGCTGTAGTGGGTGGCATTGCCATGGGCACTCCCCCCACACCCCATCCTAGCACCAATGTGAGCAGCTCTGTGGGGGCAGCCCCAGGCTGGCACCCACCTTGATGGGCACCCAGCATCTGGCTTGGAGCTGGTGCAGAGCAGGGGAATCCAATTTATTTTATTAAGCAGAGTGTCCCAGAGGCCCATGGTGGGTGTGCAGATGCAGTGGGATGCCTGCCTTGGGCTCCTGTCTGCCTCAGAATGTCCCAGTTCTGGTGACACCCAGGGAGCACTTGCCAGGCTGTGACAACCCAGGGAAAGGGTGTCAGCCTCACGCTGGGCTGTGCCTGTATCGACAGCAGAGCTCCAGCACATCATCTACATTTTCCTTGGAAATACTGGGGAATGATGTAAGGGCTTGGCTGAACGCTGGGGTGAGGCTGACACTAGACCAGGTTGGTGAAAGCCCCCGCCAACCTGATCTAGAATGTTGACAAGGTTGGGGCATCCACACTTTCACTGGGCACCTGCTCCCCCACCACCCCACCCTCGTGACCAGAGGCAGCTCCCTCAGCCTCCCCTTGTGTGCTGTGGGACTCCTCACCATCTCCAAGGCCTGGGCTGGGCCTGTACCCCACACACCAGTACCTTTCCAGGGCTGTGGAGACCAAGAGGGGACAGAGGAATCCATAGGCACTAACCAAATCCCAAAAAAGAGAGGAAGAAAGAAATTTTCCTGTTATTTTTTTGGTTTATTGGTTTGGTTTTTTAAAATTTATTATTTCCCAACATTGAAAAGAACTTCCCATGAAGCAGCTAGAAGGGACCTCCATGTGAAGGCCAACACTTCTTCCTGACATCTGTTGCTTCTCCAAAGAAACAGCTGTCTACGTTCTTGGCTTGGTCTGCTAATATTCTTCATGCAAGGCTGACTTCACTCATCCATCAGGGATTGTTGTTGCCCTCAGACTGAAGAAACCCCACCTCCAGACTCCAGGAACCTCAGTGGCCCTCTTGGGGATAACTCCTGTCACCCCAGCACAGTAGCCTGGTGAAAGCCAAGTCAATTCATGTCTTTCCCTGAGGAGCTCCAGGAAGGGTTGGGTAGGGGAGGAGAAGGAAGGGCTCATATAATGCATAGCAATCAACAAATGAGGGTTGATGCCAGGACATGAATAGGTGAGCTAGTAGGACAGGCCCTGTGTGGAGGCTGGGACTCTGTAATATTCCCTAGCATGTTTGCAAAGAAGAAATTCTTAGGGCTCCATGCTTTTATTATGATAACTTTACTCTTTAAAAAAATTGTCTCAAACTGTTGATGTCATAGCCTAAAAACCTCAGGATGTAAGGTGGTACCAGCAAAGCAGGATGTGGGCATGGAACTGGACAGTTTCCAAAAAACACCTCCTACTTAAGGGGTCATGGGAGCACAGGTGCTGTCACCAAAGTACCAAATAAGGAGGAAGGACAGGATTTTCATCCTTGTCTTGTTGCTTATTTTTCAGTCAGGCAGGTGCGGACTTTGAGCCGCCAGAACTCCTGGAGGCAGGCGCTGCGCGTCGTTCTTCGCGCGTTGGCAACGGCTCTCATGGTGCAAGGGCTGATGCTCCTCCTTCTCCTCCTTCCCCTCCTCCTCCTGCACCGTCGATTGTTGCCATTTTTCAGGCCCAGGGAAAGCGAGTCCCCCTTTGGGTGCTGCCGGCCGCGTCTCTGTGCTGTCCCTCGCAGGGGTGGGCCCGGCTCACTGCTCCAGCGGCTCCCCGGCAGCCCGCTGTCCCTGGGCCGCACCCCGTCCCCTCCTGGGCACAGAGCCAAGCTCTGCATGGCCATCACCAGGGAACTGAGGGCGCTGGCACTCATGGCAGACAGGGGATTTTGTTCCTCCTCTTCCTCCTCTTCCACGGCCTCCTCCTGGCACATGCCTTCCTCTTCAGCCATCATTGTAAGTCCCTTACAAAGCTGGTCTGCCACCTGCCTCGCTCTTCTGGCTTTTCATTCTTCCAGACATTCATCAAGGGCCACTCAGAGCTGGGTGGATGGGGGTCTGCTGCAGAGGGCCCTGCTTCTGTAGTGCCAGAGCACTCAGGGGACAGGTGACATCACAAACAGCCTCTGTGACTGGGCCATGACTGTGGTGTGGGTTGGGTTATGGTGGGCCTGAAAAGTGCCCAGGTATGGGAGAAGCAGGTCATGAGAGCTGAGGGAACCTTTCCTGGTGCCCATCCCACCTGCCATGCTGCTTGTGCAAGAAAAGCTGTCCCTTGGGCACAGGGGCCTCCTGCCACCTCTCCTCAGGAGCCCTTGTCTCCAGCACCCTCCTCACCCCATACTTGGAGCAGCCTCAACATGACCCTGGCAACAGCATTCCAAGAGCATGAAAACCCCACAGGTTTCTAGGAAGAAGGAAAAGCCTACCTGCTACCTTTAGTCAGGGTCCCCCTCATGCTGTTCTCTCCTTTACAGACCAACCTTAACACTGCTTTTTTGGTTTTAATCTTTAGGGATGTTTTTAGTGCTCTCACACATTGTGGTCCACTTCCTGCAATCATCTGGGAATTTCATCACGGCTAAGGCAAAGTTAAAGCACAACTCACAGAGCTTTAGTCTTGCTAACACAAATAACACAACATGGATTAGGCTACCGTTCCAACAACATGGAATAAATGGGAGAGGTGCTATAGAGTAGCAGAGGAGCTTGGTGGACAGCAGTTTGTCAAGAGTAGAAAGCAAGGCCAGAGTTGAGAGAGTCATGTGTGTGACTATGATCTGCTCTTCTGAACAGTTAACACTGAGCTAAGAGAAAGAAGATATATTTTGTCCTTCAGCATCCCAGTAAACTCATGTATATATAAGGATTTGATTAACTCTCCTAACTGGTATCACACAGATGGTTTTGAAAAAGTCAGAAGAGACATTTGGTTAACTCTGAGATGACAAAGGGCAAAACCCAAGACAACTCCTTCAGAATTGAAAAGGAGGGAGTCACAAATATCTGCTCCAAAATACAAGGCTTCAAAAATCAAGGGCAAAGCATTGTTGGACTGTTGGCAGCATCATGGTAACCCATGACGAGTGCATGAAAGAGGGCATTGGCTTCCAGTTCAGGCAGATGATGTGACTGGTACCATGAGAATGCAATAGGTACAAGGAGATGAACACAGAGAAGTCCTCAGTGGGAACAAAACCCACATGGATTAATTACAGTTCATGACCTCCAGCTTTACCATCCAGATGGTTGTCCCTATCAATCAAGTACTTTGGTGTTGCGCTTTCTCAGCATGCCTGTCTGCTCTGAATCACTGGGCTTTTGCTTTTCCAGCGCAGCATTTTCATTTTCTGACTCCACGGACAGGTCCTCTTGGCTTGTTTCTTCTACTTCACTGCAGCTCTCAGAGTGGAATCCAGCATTCTCTGCTATGACAGCAGGATCATCATCACAGCAGCAGCAGCACTCCCCAGTGCCCTGGCTGGGAGGAAGGTCACTCTTCTCCTCCTCCTCAGTGAGAGTTATATCATCCTTTTTCTGCATTAAACCCTGACCACCCGTTCCTGTGGTGAGATCACTTAGCAGGGTTTCATCATAAGGATACTCCTCATCTTCCATGCCCTCCATTCTTTCTGCCAGCTCTTCTGGGGAGGGCTGGCTCAGGTCAGGGTAATCTACGAGGATTGTGTCCGGCTTGCGCTTGAAGCAATCGGAATTCTCGTACACAGGATAGGTCTCTTCTGGATAACCTTAGGAATAAAGGGATATGCAGCTTGGAGTATTACAGCATTTAAAAGGAGTCCTGACCTCAGTGGTGGATGCAAAGTTGGCCAGGACAGTCGTTTTTCCTACTGCCATGTACACATCACAGTATGAAATCCATGGCAAGAGCATGCAAAGTGTGTCTTCTTGGGAGATGATGAAAAAAAATTCACTTACTTTTAGGGAGCCAGGATATCAGTCCTGACTTTCAGAAGTGAAACCTGAGCTTTGCTGGAAGCTGTGGGGGCTAACAGGTAAAAATGGTGTATCTTAGATCTTTGAATGGATCCTTCTTTTTTTTCTGCCTACAGATTGGCTGATGCATGGTTTGAACACTTGCTATCAACAGCATTACTGGGAAAGTTGAAAAAACGGATATATCAATGACTTTGTACATTTCATTTTAGAAATAACATTGTAAACTTGACTTTATGAGCAAAGCTCAAGGCCACTGTTTATGCTTTAAGTTTTGGATAATTTTTGAAGCTTTTTAAAAAGCAAGAAATTAAGTCTGCATTTAAAATTATGATACAGAGCGGCTCAACTAAGATGTCTTGAAAACACATTTATGTACCAGGTAAACACCAAGGAATAGAAAGGACATTAAAATAAATAGTTTTTAAAAGACTTCTTGGAGTTGACTTATACAACACTGGAGCTAACAAAAAATGACTAATCAAAAGTAAAAACTGTAAATTATCTAAAAAATGCAGATCTGATTTCCAAGGGTCTTATGATTGTCATGAAATCCAGCTCAGCACAGAAAAGGAAAGATATAAACCTAGAGCAGCCAAGCCCTAGGAGCAGATGGAATATATGTGAATATTCATATGCCACTTTGGGCAGCACATAGTGCAGTGTTTACACTAAAAGAAATATTGGATACCTCAAAATCTAATTTTTTCTGTTATGGTTGGGGACAGAAAAGCCAAGCAACCTCTTGCAAAGTTTTGAACACTGGCTTCTGGAAAAAGAAGGATAAAGTTAACCAAAACTTGGAAAGGGTCTGGAACTGTGAGTAATCTTTATCCAATTTTTTTTGTAAGGGTAGTGGTAAGAAAGGTTCTTACTTACCTTCCCAATCCGCCATGTAAGGAGCTTCCTCAGCTTCCTTCTCAGGAGAGATGTCATCTATGAATTTTCCTTCTTTCATAACTCTAGTAATTTCTCTGAGTTGTTGAAGTAACATTTTTTCCTGGTCTGTTGTAACATTTTGAGTCCTGCTACAAAATATTAGACATCAGAATTTAGTCCATTGTTATTGAAAGCTATGAGAAGAGGTTGAACCAAACTGTTTGGTCCATGCCAGCAGCACAGTCTGGAGAAACCTGTTGAGGAGTGTCATCCTTCCTCACCATCAGCATGTGCTCAGCTGGGTATAGTTTATCCCTTTATCCAAAAAGCCTCCAATCTAAACAGGTAAAGGAAGGCAGGTAAAGCCAATGTGAGAGCAAGATAAAAGTGACACACAAAAAAGTGTTATGATACAAAAGACACTACAGAAATTTCTTGCCTGTGAAAGTGTGTTAGGTGAGAATTAGGGTGCAGTGCCTTGTATTAAATATTTTAAGGAAATTAAATTCTGAATCTGTGCTACATGTGTAGCTTGTGAGGCTGATCAAAATTTCTCAGAGTGATTAGTCTCAAGACTCTAAAATCTCTCATTATGACCATTAAATGTGCAAGTTGGACAAATCATCATGTCATTATAGAAAGTCAACAATGCAGCCTGGTGGGGAGGTGGGGGGCAGAAACAGGAAGGAAGATTTAAGAATGGAAAGAAGGTATTACAAAAGTGTCACTTGCCCTTTAGAATTACAGGGACTGAGATTTTTATCAGATGGAAAGCAAACTTTTGACTGGTTCTCCACTGCTGGATCTAGTAATTATTACTGCTTAGGTAATACAACTACTACTGTAAAAAAAATGCTTCCAACAGATAAGATCATGTAGTCCTTACATGTTATTTTCTCTGCAAAGAAACAAGGCTTCTAAAAATCTGATGGACAAAAAGGTGGTATTTGGAGGAGGGTGCTCTGCAGTCTGCTAACTCAGTAGGCCAGAATGAGAAAGGCACTGGCTGCCACCAGGGGTGAAAATGGTTCTGACCACTGGTGCTTGTTTCATCTTGAGTTTAAAATTATAATATCTTCAAGTTTAAGTCATTCTTGAGCAGTAATGCCAGTTCAAGCCACTCCTCTGGAGCTCTTTTGGATCTGTGTAGGAGTAAGGAGCTGCTGCCCCCAGTTACTTGTAAGGGTGGCCCTTGGCATGCACAGAATGCTGAACTGCAGGTGGGATGTGAGGTCAGACAGATGATCTCTGGTGATCCCTGGTCTGAAGAGCAGACAGACAGACAGATAATCTCCAAAAGCAGATTCAATGAGTAGGCTGCTCAGTGAAGCATAGGGAAAAGATGGGAAGAGAGGAGCTGGAGGCAGATTTTGGCTTTAGGTGATGTAAGCCTCATTTTAGTTATCAGAATTCTAATAAACTTGCAATGTCCTTCTTCAGGTTTTCCTCTTACCAGCTGCTGGGAGTGGAGCAGCACTCCAAGAGGTACTTTGTGCCACTCTGCCTAAATGGGAGTGATGGTGACACAATGGCTCTTCCACTAAGGGCAGCAAAGTCACACTGGTTCAAAGTAAGATCAGCATCCTGCTGCTGGTTGGTGTGATGATGGTGGAAGTGATGATCCTGGGCTGGATATTGTACACAGCTGTAACTGAACTTAGCTCAGGAGCTGGTTTGATCAGCACCTACCTAGATTAAACTGCTTCCCTGAGATCACTTTTCTGCATTTCCACCAAGGAGCACTTTGCCCCACAGTTTGAAAAGCTGATATCCCAACACTATACATAGGTTACACTGATTTCCCCCAGGCTGTGGTGGCAATCTGTTCCACAAACAACTGAATGTGTGAGACAGCACCTCCCCAAAAGCCTGGCTTATGCAGATGTGGAATCTGAGATGTGAATTAAGAGGCCCTCCAAAAGAAGTGGCTTCACCAGCCTTTGACCAAAGCTGTGACAGAATTGCTGAACTAATCCTCCTTTAACAGACAAAACTGTACCCAATTTGAATATATATCACTTGGCTGAAGACAGAGAGGCCTATCTCTTTAGCACATTGGGCAGATAAGCTGGCTCAGATAACAGGATCAGTCAATGCAGCTGCATCACTGTGGCATTTCATACAGGAAAATTCCCAATATGTGGGATACCCTCATTAGAACATACTCCTGTCTTATTGCAACACAAGGGTTCTGTATTTCAGAATATTCCTCCTCCAAATACCTTGCTTAAAAGGCAGATTTCCCTGCAGACAGGGAGAAACTAAAACCCATGTGTTATTTTGACTTCATTGAAGGCCTCTGGGAAGACTTACTGTAGGTTGCTGGCAGTGTGTAAGACATCTGGCTGCCTGCACATGGGAGATTTACCAGGCTATAATGCACTTAGGAATACTCAGAGGATAACAGATGCAGAAGGTTTACAGTTCAAGAAAAGGTCATTATTTTTGCTGTCAGTATTTGTAGCTCCAACACAAGTATTATTTTTCATAATGGCAATACTTACACTTTGTGGAGTCCCAAAGAGCTCACTAACAGGTAAAGAAAAGGCTTCTTATTCTTACTGTGAGATTAAAACATTTCCTAAAGAGCCATAATGACTGCAGAGAAAATAATCTAAATAATCTAAAATGGCATCTCAGACATGTTAACTGGTATTTTTTTTTTTTTAGCTTCATGATCTTAAGGTAATCACTATCAAAATGCAGCTACATCCCAAAAAATGGCATCCCACTGAGCCTCTCACTCTTCCATATCACCTTTGCTCAGTTTATCATAACAAAGAAGTTTTTCCAGTAGACAGCCTGGTAAACAAGACTTTAAAAACAGGTAGGAGATCTGCATTATTTCTCTTACCTAACTATCAGAAACAGAAATTTTTGGTTACATTGCTGAGGACCTGGCCAGGCAGTTCTTCTTTCCTCTTGCTTTCTTTACCTTGCTTCTCATTTTTCTTACAACATGCTAGGCCTTATTAAAAGTACCTGTACTTGTACTTTTTGATAGTTTTGCATTTCTGGAAGGTTGTTTTCTACTTAACAGTGTAGTAATTCCAATTGGTTTGCTGATTTGGAAGAAAGTCCTCTCAGTTGGTTTGGAGGTTGGCCTTCAATTCATTAAAAAAAAAAAGCAAATCCAAGTTTCTGGCTGTTGCTTTCTACAACACAGGCTGGCTGTTGCTTTGCCATATCTGGTATAAAGGGCCATGGTCTCACCTGGGGTTTTTCAGCATTAGTTGAAACTTGATACCAGTTATTTCTGTCTCTGACTTTTCTCAGTAAAGGTTTCTGTTTAACTACAGATCAATAGATAAAGCTCAAGTCATTTTTACTCTCTTATTCTTTCCTTTTTATTTAAATCCATCAATATCCAGATTGAAAAGCCTAGCTCAGTACTCTAACTACACTTTCTAACCATAGGTTTTATTTTAATAGATTTATCCAATATTAGTGAAATTAATGAGTAGATTAAGAAAGCTTTAAACTGTTTGAAAACAGCTATTTGCTCCATCAAGAGGTGCCTTTCCCCTCGTCTTCAAGGAGGCAACATACAAAATTCTTCATTAAATTCAGATTCTCATTTCCCCTGAGACCTTTAGACCCATCTATATAAATAGTCTGGTTGAACAAAGAAGGGAAGTTCTACTAAATAGAGGCTTTGGGCCAATAACACAGAGCAGAACAAATACTGGATCAGACCCTAAACCGATTTTCTCAGCAAAAAAAAGATTCCATCCTGAGAATCAGCACAATATCTGGGCAGTTCCTAAGCCTATTTCTGTCAGCTCAGAGGAACGTGTAGAGCATTGTGTCAGCTCTCCAGCACAGGGATGAGTGCAGCCAAAGCAGGATCCTTCTGTTGCACTGACAAAACCAGGGCACTTTAGGGGCTCTCCCCCTGGGACCTGGCTGAACATGGGCAGGTTGGGCACCTTGTCTGCCTGAGACTGCACAGGGCACAGCCCAAAGTGGGCAAAACTGCACTCAAAGACAAGTGGTTTGAGCCACAAATGAACAAAATGTGCATGTTCAGCACAGAATTCCTACAGGATGGGTTAAAACAGGCCTTGGCTGATCCAAAGTTAACATGATTTACAACCAGAACAGCTCTCATTTTTTGCAAACCTCACCTTCATAGTTATGGTATTTCAGTTTTCATACTGCAGTTAAGCAGTGTCCTATTGATCTATTCTTTTTACTCCTTATGAAAAACATAGACTTGTTTCCAGTGTTTCTTTGTAACATAGACTGGTGATATCAGATTTCTAGGAAACATTAATAAACATAATAAAATTTTGAATGCTGATTTTACAACCCTTTGTCTTTTATATTTAGAAGCAAATGCATGAATTTAGAGTGGAACTAAGTTATGTAATCAGATTATTATACAATTCTGCCTTAAAGAAAAATGTTATGGTTATTCTAAAAGGAATTTACATAGATTATAACAGCATTTCAATTCAGGAAAATAATCCACAGAACTGGAAAAGAATAATTCAGGATATTATTTTGGTCACATTAAACAGGATGTTTTATGTACTTTAAATGTAGATGGTTTATCTTCTTTTTACATATATCTGTAATTTTCTTCGAAATAACACACTGTACAAAGGGGGGAGATAGGGATAATTGCTTTTCTAGTTAAGGAAATGAAGTTGGAAAAAATTATTTATTTTATATATAGGTACTGAAAATATAAAAACTGCAGAACAAGAATTGGGATGTGTAAAATCAAACTTCTATAATTTGAAGTAGCAATAAAAATGCTGTTTTAATATAGATAATGAAAGAAAGTTGAATTTCTAATCAGAGTGGAAGCTCTCCTTAAAATACTCTAATTTGAAACACACCTGTCATAGGTAGGTCCTACTCTGTTGATTAATTTTTCCATTGCTTCTTCTGTCTCTCTCAGTCTTTCCTGAAGTTGAGTGAGCTCGTAGTCAGCTGTAAAACAAAACAAAAAAAGTCCCTAGGAGCCTTGAAAATGTATCCCTGTCCCATTATCACAGGTAGCAAATGCTATCCAAACCAAACTGCCTTTTAGGAAACTAAAACAGCTTAGAAAGTTCTACCTACCCTTCCTGGCCTAAGAAGGTGAAGAATATTACCAATATTACACCCATTTAAGCAGCACAAAGGCACAGTGGAGCTTCAACATAGTAGGAATGGAGAAATCCATCAACAAACATCCTGCTTTTACAAAGACCTCTATCCTGCACAGATTGCCATGACTTAATGCAACACTGATGTAATTATTTTGCATGTCTGAGACTTAAAAGAAGAGGAAGGGGAATTGGCAGAGAGAAAGGAAGTTACTTCCTCCAAGTCACTCTGTAAGTGGTGACTCAGACTTCAGGTTCCTAATCCAGCGACCTGTCCCCTGCTCTGCTACAGCTTGCTATGAATGCTTTAGGAATATAAATGAAGAGCTCTAGAAAAAAGGCAGAATAATTTTCACTGTTAGTTCTTTGGGATATAATGATGTCAAAGTAAACTTACTGCAAAGTTACTTTCTCTCACCAAGCATCAGAGAAAAAAATATAATTACCACTGCTAATATATTGCCCAAAAATTGCCAGGCACAATCTACAGCACTGAGTACATTAGGTATTCTTAATATGTGCATTAATGTCAAGAAAATTAGAGCTATGTTAAGAAAATTGCCTTCCTGCTACCACTTTCTATAAAGCCTTAAGTACTTTTCTTTCCTATTACAGTTTAGCCAGCTAAACACAACACATTTAAATGCTGTAATGATAACTACTCTTCAAATCCTCAGTAGTAAACTTACTAATTTATCTAATAAGTGCCTACAAATACTTGAATCTATCTCACCAATGTTTAGGAAAGATCAAATTAACATTTCAGAATACTGTTTTCTCTCTTTATTGCACGCATGAAAACTCTGCGCTGCAAAAAAGGGACAAATTAGGGAAGTGCCTGATGATGGCTAAGAATTCACCAATTCAAAAAAAATAAACTAGCTTTCATGGTATCTTTCTATGCTCTTACTAGACTGTTAGGGATTATACAATAATTATAGCTGGACATCCTATTATCCATTTTTAATCATTAGTGACACAGCTTTTCAGCAAATCCGTGCAGTTAATTCAGCAAACCTCATGAAAAGCCATTTCTTCCAGAGGGGCTTGGGATCAGGCTGCTATCACAGCTTCATGGGCTGAATGGGATTAGAAAGTGACAGTGCAGTAATTCTTTTGAACTCTTGCTCATTCCAACACAGAAGATCCTGGATCGGTTTTGGGGGGTTTTTTTGTTGTTTTTTTTTTTTGCTTTACAGTGCACCCAGAACTCAAAGAACCCTGTTGGACCATTAGAGAGTCAACAGCTACACAGCTCCAGCTCAGAGCCATACTCACTGATTTTCCTCTTCATGTTCCCAGGTGTAGCAGGGGGGCATTTCCGCTCTGCAGGAGTAGTTCTTCCCTTGGAAGCCAGCTGATGAGGACAAGAACATGGCCCTTCTATGAGTCACAACAATAGCAATAGATAAGCCCCAGAGGCAATGGAAAAAAATACAGAAAACTGAAATAGGCCAGAAGGCAGCCAGGAAAAAGCACACCCACCAGCAAAACCATTGAATATGCCTGGAAGGTTTTGCCAGCTGAAAATTCTTATCAGACTCTTGGAACAAATAACAACATGTGACATATAAAGTATATATAACGTGTAGCCACATACAACGGGGAAAATAATACTACATGTATATTCAAAATTAATCTAACTTTACTCTAGATGTGCACATTTTCCAGGAGGAAAAAAAATCCCTAAGAAATTTTAATAGGTCAGAAGCCAATGCAGGATCAGAGAAATCCTTCCCCGCATTCTTAGCTACAGTCTTTGCAATAGTAAAATCCACGGGATGTTCCAATCTTTAGACCACCAGCCAAAGGTCCAGCATAAGCATTTTTTTGAGCACAGCTGAAATGGAACAAGGTGCTGAAATGAGTGTATAAATTTTTTTCCCAAGTTTTTTATTTCCCAATACTTCCCCAAATATTTCCCCAAAAACTTTTCAATTTATGTTGCCTTACCTTAAATAAAATGTACAGAATATATAAGAAGATGCCAAATCCATATATAGGGATAATCTGTCCCACAAGGCCTCTTCCACTTCCACCAGTGCTTCCACTGCCACCTCCACCTGCCTTGGCCTTGGCAACTGCTTCAGTGAGGTGAGACCTTGGGAAATGAGGGACAGCTCGGCCGTCGGGAGTGCCGTGGGAATGCATCCTCGGGGGAAAGCGACTGAGCTTCCCTGCAAAAAACCACACAATGGTCATTTCCCTTCTCTTGCTTTCTACCCTTTTACACATTGCATGAACCTGCAGCAGGTGCAAGTGACCTATTTTCTCTGCTTGTTAATTCACCAGCACAGAAGAATAAGTAACTTGTTGGACTAAGTCTGTAATCTCAGCCCTCAGTCTCTTGTGATGTGCAGTGCTGGGAGTTAGGTTTTACTTAAAGCCATTTACTCCTAGCAATTTTTCTCCTACACAATTAGGAGTAGAACCACACAATTAAAATCTCCTGATTTTAAGCAAAGAAAGAGCTGGCAGGGCAATTAACAAAGCAGGAATTTTAATAGGTATATTCTTGTCCGAATACCCAACAGATCAGCATCTCCAGCAGGAAAAAATGCCAGGTTCCTACTTCTTTCTCTCCTCAACATATCAGTTTTCCACTGTGAGCCTGATCTTTCAATACTGCCTAAAGGCATTTAATGTATAAATGTATTAATGTCCAAACCATTATCCACCTAACACCCTGACACACGACTGCAGTGTTTGCTCAGCATAGATTTTTGGTTATTGCCATAAGAAATAGTATTTTACCTGATTTTACCAAGCGAGTAATGAAAGATTAAGAAAAGTGTTTTTACCTCAAGCTGTTCTCCTTAAAAAGGTCTAAGGTAAAGCAGTGTGAGACAGGAGATTGAATATAGCCTGGGACATATTATCTTTGGCATTTTAGAGGGAAATGAATTTAGAGGTTTCTAACCTTTCTAGGCAGAGCTAATTTAACACAAGACAGGAGAGCAAGCATAAATGGATGTACAGATACCAGAGTGAGACTGCAGAGAGCCTGAAATGGTGCTGCAAATGATTTCACGCAACTGAAGGGCACAAGAACCTCAATAAATTTAAGCTCATGCATTATTCCACTTTCTTGCTGCCATCAATTCAACAGTTTTGCTGTGAAATTCACTATTTTACTCCTCTGTGTAGCTGATATCCTGCTTTCCAGCCTGGATGTGCACCTGCACTCCCTTCTACTGACTGGTGTTGGGCTGAGTTACTCAGCTCCTCTGCCATGGAATCTGGTGGTAGGAGGGGTGGATGGAGGCATGGATGGGGATTGCCAGGCTGGGCTGCAGCTCAGTCCCTGATCCCAGCTGGAAAACTCCCCCTCCCTGGCACACATGGCCTGGACACTGCTGCCTGGTGCTGGGACAGGCTGCCTGTGCTTGCAGAAAGAGAATGAAAAGCAGGTTTGAAGTGCTGCTGTAATAACTGACTTTACTTCTGCGAGTATGCAGCTGCAAGTGCTTTTATGAGACACAAGAGAAAAATTTAATTAACATTTGGTCTTGCTAGGAAACACCATCACAGGCAGCTAAATTCCTGAGCACAGAAAATTGCAATAAACACTTACTAGGCAGTGGTATCAATAATTCATGAAGTTTCACTATTAAAAACACATTTTTCTTGTAGATGATAGCACACATTCCATGAGTTCTTTAGTGTAACTGCCAGGGTACCCTACCACTGACCAAGGCCACCCTCAGATTAGCTTAATTTCGAGGAAGCTGTTATCAGGCACCTAAATTTTAGTGAATTATTCAAAGTCTGTGATGGAAAGCATAGCATCTTATTTACAAGAAAGTGCCCCTGCTCCAGCAGCAATGCCCTGCAGCAGTAGGTCACTGTGGAAACGAGTGTGATGTCGTGCAGAGAGCAGCAGCACCAAGGTGGGGATGAAGCAGCAGGGTAGGTAAACACTTATAAAATATCTTACACTTATGCAAATATTGTTTATTTTTAAAAAAGAGAGATATTAAGAAAGCAGAAAATAATTGACAGAGATGAAACTGTATTTACAGCAGATAGCTTTCTAAATTATCCACAAGGCCTCATTTGTGCTTTAAAAGATTCAATTCAATTCAATATATTCAGGCCAAGAGGACAGACACTAGACATTTCATTAGCAAGATAATTTTAAAAGGGAATTTCATGACTCCTGTTTCTAAACCTACCCTATTGATTTTACACTTCTATAATTATTTCCTTAATAAACAAATACTATCTTCTATAGTTTTTTACTGTGAAGAACCCATGCAAATTACTCAGGAAACTGAGGGCACAGGCAACTTGAAAGCAGCATATGCACAAGGCTCTTGAATGCACAGTATATAAATGGAAAATAGAACAATATGGGTGCCACTGTGACCTGAACAAGATTCCACACTTGCAGGGATGAAACACACCACTTTCAAATGGAGACAACAGCATACAGGAACAATAACATCAAGAAAATCAAGTGACACCTGATGAGCACAGAGGGCATGTCTTGTGTCCTTGTTTGCTGCCCTACCCAGCTGCCAGTGGGGCTGGTGTGTAGTTCAACAGGACATTTTCCTGTTCTGGGAATGCTGTGGGAAGAGCACTAACTCTGGTTAGCTTTGAAGGATGCCAAAGTGCTGCTCTGCTTCTGAAATATTTCTCAACTCCCCTGTGACAGCCCGAGCAGACTCATTGCTGTGTGGTAACTCCCACCAAGCACACCCCACCTGGCTTTGCAATCTTTTTACCTAGGACTTATCCTACACATTTAATAATGCTGTCAGCTTTAATGCTTCAAATCAACTTTGCAAACCAGCCACAGGTTAAGCTGTTTTGTTTAACCCAGTCCCTTCAGGAGCTTGAAGTCCAAAAATGAAATTATGGCCCAGAAACATTTGTGATGTTTAAAAGGCTGTAGTTTCTGAATGTAGTCCTTAATGGTATTTTCACATGAGAATGACTGTGGGGTTTTTAATTTTAACAACATTAACACTCAACTGAAAAGCAGCAAATCTTAAAAACTGTATTTACAACACAATGAATAGAGCGACCAACCAGATGATGATACTCAGATCATTCAAGCATCTTTTTTCTCATGAAGGCTGTCATGTGTTCTACTTAAAGGGTTTTAGGAATTGCTACAGGGCCCAACTCAACTATTTATAAAGTCATTTAGACTTATGTTACTGTACTATTCAGCAACTCTTAGTGTAGGTAATATGTGTCTCTGCCACATCATTTTCTTCAGGCAGGCAACTGATGTGTGCATTGCACAAATTCAAGTTGAGCAGGGGGGTTACCTGAACTGTCATATATTGTTTTTGTAAAGCTGATGCCACTTGATTGTAAGAAAGCAGAGTCTGCTGCTGTCAGGGAGTTGTAAGGTTTATCTGAAACTCCCAGCTCAGAGAGTGGCTTTGCAAAATGTGTGGCATTTATTTATGAACACTAGACTTAAAATATACTTTTAAAACTACTAGTATGTCTCCCTTTTGCTCCTCTTTAACAAAAGATAAACATTCTAATGCCTGTCTAGGAATGTAATACAAACACAGTAAGTTCTTTAAGTAAGCTGTTATATATGTGAAATTATAACTGTGAAAAAGAACAACATTCCTGTCTGGAAGATAACATTAACTTCTATAGTCCAATTCTCACCATTTTCCTAAAAGAGACCTCTGAAAACGACTTTATTAGAGAAAGTTCCATTCCCATGCCTAAAGCCTGTTTTGATAAAAAGCCTTCTGGTAACATTGAGTTCTAACAAACTGTACTAAATTTTAAGCATGTTTTATTCAGAGACATTTTGCCCCCAAGACTACCATAAGCACTTTATTAACTTCAAGAATGACATGATTACCTCAAGCCCCTGAAACTCCTGCCAGGTAACTGCAGTTATCAGTGCACTGAGGAGGACAACTAATGACAGAGATATGAATTAAGTGGTTCAATCAAGATTTATTCTTCCAATAAAAAAATAACTTCAGGTGAAATACAATTTGGTCTGCAGAGCAGGTGTAATGAAATCCTTGCCATCAAGTTGAAAACGCGGGCTATAAACTCTCATCTGAAACTGACCAGCTGAGGTGAGTTATTGCACCCTCAGCCAAAGGCAGGTGCTGGGCTGCAACAGGGGAACAAACCTGTGCTGTCCTGTGATCTCTGCAGCAATGATGGGGGGTATTTACAATATTGAGGATGCAGAGAGTATTTATGTTACTTAATTTAATAATTTAACTGCAGCTGCAGGTGGTTAAGCCAACCCATCACAGCACTGCTCAGAAACAGCTGTGCTAGAATGGGTACAAACATCATTCAACACATGGCACTGAAAATAACTGGGGGGCACTGAAAATAATTGGAGGGCACTGAAAATCATTGAGGACAAGTTTGTTGTCAGGATTTTTAAAGCTATTTTCTGTCAGATCAACCTGCAGCCAAAGGAAGGAGCACCACATTTACTGATAACTGCTTGACTGCACTGCCGTGGAATAATGGAGTGTAAAATTCCATCATCTGGTACCACTGTGGGATCTGTTGGAAGATGTGCAGGGGCAAAGTCAATGGGGAGCCAGGTTCCACCTCCCAGAGCATCTGCTCCCACCCCTGCTTCAGGCAGGTGACTGCACAGTCCTCACTTGGGCCTCTATGGGTTTTTCCAGCCTGCAATGGAGCTACACACCTGCAGATCTACAGTGCTGACCAACCTACTTTCAAGTTCTCAAAAATCAAAAATAAACGTGGTAACCATGAAAGGGCTGTTGTGGCATGGAAATCCTGTATTTGGCTTCAAGGTAACACTGTTTTAGCAGTAGCTTCAGCCTGAAGGTCCTTAGAAAACCCTGAAATGGAAAACTAAATAAAATCCATGTCACTGACGAGTGCAGACATGGAAGAACCAGGCTGTTGGAAGGATGCAGAAGACAGTGAGTGAGCATGAGTCCCTGTGGGACAGCACCCTGAAGAACTGTAAATTCTCTGTGCTCCCACCAGCCTCACCTCTGACTTGCAGGCAGCCCTGGGCAAAACTCCTTCTCTGCCAAGACCAGGGGTTATGGTACCAGCTTCTCTTGTGAAGTGCCTTGGACAAAAATAACCTCTACAGTACAAGGCAATGGGCATGAAAAGGACGGGAGATGTTTGTATGATCCCATTCCTTGAGAACTTAAAGGGAGGACACGGAGTGGGAGAGCAGGCACGGGGACACAGCCTGGGGGGCCACATGGACAGGACATGAGCCTAAAATAAATCCATCACACGGCGCCACAGCACTATGAGGACCTGGTGCATGAAAACTAAAGTTTAAAACACTGGCATAGGAAACCGAACAATGAAGACGATTAAAATGAATTTTTATTTCGTATGCAACAACAAAAGCATTCCATACACAAAATAACAAAAAAATGAAGGGATGTATTGCAATGAAAAAAAAAACAAAACAAACGGAAAAAGTGGAATGAATATGTCGCTTTTCGGGAAGCTTTAATACCCCGCACATAAATAAAACAAATTTAGAAGTTTCTAAACTACTTAGAAAAACAAGAAAGTAGATTACAGCGGTCACCACGAGTGACTCCTCCGGCACTGCAAGCGTCGCTAAGGGATGAGCACGGGGGAGAGACGCGCCAAGAGCGAACCACGCTACGTTTCCATAGCGGGCGGCGGAGCTCCCTGCGGGCAGCCGCGGCCCCTCACGGAGCCCCCACAGCCCGCCCGCCCCGGGCTCACCCCCAGCGGGACCGCGGCGTCCCGGCGGGGGATTGGGGGACAAGGAGGGGCGGCGGCGAGGAGCGGCCTCTTACCCTCGGGCGGCGCGGCGCCGGGCTCCGGCCTGCCGCCGGCCCGGGGCAGGAGGGTGCGCGGCAGGAGCAGGGAGACGCAGAGCACCAGGCAGGACACGGCGGCCACCCGGCAGCACGTCCAGGCCGCCATGGCGGAGCGCGGCGCAGGCGCGCGCAGGCGCCGCGCGGGAGCCTGAGGGGAGCGCGGGGGGAGCGCGGGAGAAGGCGCTGGAAACGTGCGGGAATGGCAGGGAATGGAAACGTGTGGGGATGGCAGGGAATGGAAACGTGTGGGGATGGCAGGGAATGGGCTGGGCTGCGGCCCTGGGAACGTGTGGGGATTGCAGGGAATGGGCTGGCCTGTGGCCTCGACGACACCCCTGAGCCTCTGACCGCGGCGGAGGGAACACGGAGCTCCCCTTCTTCTCCTTCAGTGCCTGAAGGGAGCCTGCAGGAAGGATGGAGAGCGGTGTTCTACGTGTAGTGACAGGACCCAGGGGGAATGGCTTCAAACTGAAAGAGAGTAGGCTTAGATTAGATATGAAAGATGCGTGATGTCTTTAAAAACAATTTGATGGGTGTTAATGTCTTTAAGACTCGTTTCAATGTCTCTACTGACTTTGGGCAGCGGGTTTGCTGCAGAGTGCAGACCCGACATATGCAGGGGAAGGCACAAGCCTCAACTTCAAAACTTTGGGGCAAAACAGCATGTTCAAGGGGGAATATGTGGTAGGCGGTTCGGGAAGGCTGTGCCTTCCTAGTACCTCAGCCAGTGGGAAAAGGAAGAGGGGAACACGCAGCAAGGAATTAGAATAAAAGGAGGCTGATCCTTCCAAAATGGAGAGGAAGAAAACCCTGTAGGTGTGCCCCAGTGGATTGTCTCCCTTTATTCAAATAAAGCTATCTAATTCTCAAATTCTAGGACAAAAACCTCTGGTGTTTGTGCATTTTCCTCGAAACAAATGCTCTCAAGTAACCCCAGCACGAACTCAAATGACCTCAAGAAACCCCAACTGACCTCAACAAACCCCGGATTCCGGCCAGAGTCCGGACTGGAGTTGGCAAAAAGAAAAACCCATGCCGGATTATGGCCGGAGTCTGGAATGGAGTCGGAAAATTAGAAAACCCGGACCGGATTCCAGTCGGAGTCCAGATTCAGTCAGAGTCCAGATTCTGGCCAGAGTCCGGAATGGAGTCAGAAAATTGGAAAACCCGGACTGGATTCCAACCAGATTCTGGAATAGAGGCAGCAAATTGGAAAATCTAGACTGGATTCCAGCCAGGATCCAGAATAAAGTGGGCATAAAAGGAAAACCTGGACCGGATTATGTCCAGAGTCTGGAATGGAGTTGGCAAATTGGAAAACCTGGATGAGATTCCAGCCGGGGTCCAGAATGGAGTTGGCAAAAAGGAAAACCCATTCCAGACTCTGGCCAGGGTCTGGAGTCAGCAACAGTTTTGTTTGTTGTTTTTTTTCCCCAGGGTGTTTATAGCATCATGGTCTTCAAGATCTCTACCAACCCAGACCGCTCTGTGGTTGTTCCTTACCTCCCATAACCATTTCCCAGGCTCTGGTCCTTGCTTGCTTGTAGCACTTGAACTTTCTGGGGGGAAAAAAAAGATCTCCCCTGTGCTGTGTTTTTCCCTGCTCTGCAGTGTCACAGCTGGTCTCTGATGGAGGCAGTGATGGGGTAGGTGGGCACAGGGTGCACAAGGCTTGGAGCATCCACGGGAGTGTGGTTCCCATTCTCCCTGGTCTGAGACAGGGCCAGGACCTTTCCTGTGGCAGGACTGCTGGAAGAATTAGGGCAGCTAGGCTGCAAGTGTAAGAAGGGAGTTTGGGTAAAAACACTGCTTGAGGCCATGGCTAACCTGGATTGTTATCCAGGTTTGTTTCCTTGTGCATTTGTTTCCTTCCTTTGTGCATATGGGACAGATGTAGAAAAGTTCAGACCATATTTAAGCTTAAATCAATTTACTTCAACTATCTTAAACAACAAAAATCAGAAATGTGCATATATGTTCAAAAGAGGGTGTGAAATATACCTCTTGTCAGTGCATTTGTTTAGGGTGCTGCTGTGCAAAGTCATCCTGAAACCAGCTCCCTATTGCACTAACAATAAAAGATCAAAGAGGGAAGTTCAGTGTTTGTACTTGTTCATTTTCACCGACTTAAGCAAAAAACTGTCAGTCATGTCAAATTAAATTATATGGTTTTGTATTTCCATTATATTTATATTACACTGTATTACTGCAGTTGAATTAGACTATTTTCCATGGGGTCTGGGCTGTGACTACTGAATTTAACTCACTTTACGCAAGAGCTACCCTTAATTAGACTTGAGCTGAGAGCAGAATTGCTTTGACTAACGCTGCAGACCACTATGGCAGCAGAACACCACAGGCTCTTAAATTACTTCAAAAGATATATGAGCAGCTGGAACTGGATGGACAATTCCAGAAATCCTTCTTAGTGAGCACCTTCACCCTGGGAAGACAGCAGTCCTTGGTCAGACCCCATCAGCCTGGCTGGACTATGTCCTTTCTGCACCTTCACCCATCCCTCATTCACCAGGTTTCAGGCTTCCCACAGTAGGATTGCTGGGAGTCCCTGCGCTGTTCCTGGAAATGAGAATTGTGGGAGCTGTTGTTTTGGTGTCTGTGCCTCTTTCCTAAACTTGTCGGCAACTCCTGATGCCTCCAGAGGCCAAGTTAACAAGTGAGGGCATCAAAAGGTGCGTTGCCTTGATCAGAAATGTGTCATCAGTTCACTAACAACAAACAATTCCCTCATTCCACCATGAAAAATACATTGTTGTTCTCTAGAAGTTTACAATATTCAGAAACAACACTTATGTAGCAAAATACCCTTCAGCCAGTAAAATAGATATTCAGCAGGTACCAACAGAAATTTCCAAAAAATTATTTTGAACTTCTGGACAGGAATGTCAGAAAGTAATTTAATTTTATTCCTATTTATTTAATCCTCTTGTTTTCCCACCTACCTGTCTCTCTGCTATGACATGCTTACTGACTTTTCCAGTTTCTCCTTATTACGGGACAAAGCTTTAGAGGCAATTTAGCCAGTATGAATCAGAGGTGGGTTTTTTTCCTTGTTTTTATGCTTTTTCCTTAAGGATGTTCTTGGGCTATTTTATTTTGCAAGACAGCTCAAAACCCAGCAAATGAGACTGGGAGTTGTGGAAATTGTAAATGTTCATGCTGCTCCTCGCTGGCAATATGAGCAATAAAGCAACCATTCCTTTGCACAAGTATTTGTAACTTATTGTAAAATTTACCTTTTGTAGAGGAAGGGTCATCTTCAGAAGGCAGAACATTTTCCACATGTGTAGGTAAGGATCTACATGAGCCACAGGGATACCAAACTTTGGATTGTGTAAAGCAATATTCAACTGTTCTGAAAAATAGGAAAAGCATGAATGCTCAAGAATGATGGCTGATAATTCAGTGAAGAGAAAATTAATGTGAAAGAACTTGAATGAATCATTTAAAACCTGTCTTTTTATCTTTTGGTTTTTTTTTTTGGTCTGCTCATTCTTGACTGGCCACGTATAAATTGCTATAAAAATGAACAATCTCTGATATAAATGTAAATCAGGAAGAAATTTCTTAACTTAATCAAACTAACAAATGACACAAGAGCTTCCTCATTTGTCTAGGTTTTGTCAAAAGCTGTGCTACCACATCTTCTCACCTAAATTAGGGGCATGCCTATGTGCATGCTGCAAGCATTCTCACTGCAGAGTATCTTAGCAGTCAAGAGCCAAACGCTGCAGTAGTAGGCAAATGCTAACACCAGTGAGAAGCTCAGGAGCTTGTTTTGTGAGGAAGAATGTAATTCCTTGGCAATTCCCAGAGCTGTTGATTAGCTGCAGAGCAGGCAGAAATCGCTGGCTGGGCTGTGCAGGCAGAGCTCTCTGGGAAGGTCTCAGTGGTCTGCAGCAGGAACTTTGTGCGCAGCACAGGAGCTGGCACAGCAGCAAAAATGGGTCACATCCTCCGTGCCTTCTGGGGGCAGCCTGCAACAACAATGTGGTTTCTTCTCTTCTGTGCGTGAGCAAACCTATCTGGCGCCTCTTCAAGTCTTCCTCTTGCTGAGAGCTGGAGGATTTGCCCCTAAATGAGCAGTGTGGACTGGCAGCCCCTACATGAGCAGTGTGGACTCAGCGGTGAGTTGTTCAGGTAGATCCGGCAGCAGATGGGATTGCTTGCACAGTGTGGTCAAGAACACATCCTGGCACCTTTCTTGGTGTTACTGATCAATGCTCTGATGAATTCTGTGGCCATTCTGTCACAAAAATAATAAAAAAAAAAAGAATTAAAAAAGCATTCTGCTCCAATTAATTAAACAAACTGATATGAATTCCGCGCTAAAATCACACTTTGCATATCCATAATCTCTGCGCTACATTTTATGTATACTTTACCCTTGGGTAAAAATTTGTGAGCATATAAATGCTTTCTCATATAATCTTACTAAAGCACGCTCTTCCCTATAAATATTCATACCACTGCCAAAACATTTGCAAGCTTTCCCCAAAGGTGAAATATGTGTAATGTACTTTGCCTTCTGGGTATAAATATTATCCAATACATTTTGGTTAATATGAATACACTAATTATTCTTGTAACCCTTTTTAAAAGGGTCATCCTCATGATGTGAATTTTTTAAAAATGTAATTACAGTAATTGGATACTTAATCTAATTAAAATTGGCTTTATCTTTAATGGGAATTTTTCTAAAGAGGCAGAATGACAATTGACTTTCTGATAATCACTGTTTTCTTTCAGCTGGAGGATGCATTTGGTACAGTAGGAACCAGAGAACATGGCCTTTTTACCACATGCCAACCACCTTTAGGGCCAGTTAAACTACAATTTTATCCATTACCAGGGAAAACTTACACTTTACTTAGAAATAAAAGTTCTCAATGCTGAATTGATTTCATTGTGGCTCAGGTAGAGATAATTTAGGGAGCGTTTATGGTGCTGATTATGATGCAAGGCGTGCCTTAGAGAAGATGTTGCACAGGGGGAGGTGCCAGCTTCCCAAAGCCTGGCTCTGTTCAGGTATGTAGGCACAGTCATGTACAATGAGCTCCTCTGTCTTTGGGAGGTGCACCTGCATGGA